TGTGTCAGATTAAAAACAATAATTAGAAATATCTCTCCCGAACTATTAAACACCTGTTTATCTAAATATGTACCTAATAATGTTTAGAGTATTCTATAAAAAAATAAAAGGTTGATTTGTATCTTTTAAACGTAACACCATTTTTTTAATATAGCTCATCTTTAGGACTACCCAACATCTTCCTATCGCTCTAACATGTCGAAAATTTTAATATTTCGAGATACCTATCTTTCTCATTAATGGTTAGGTTAGCCATAAAAATTATAACTAATTTTCATACAAATATCATATATTTAATTAGATGTCGGCTTGAGATAAAAGGTACCTATATATTTGTAGAAGTAATGCTCATTCAAGTTCCACGCAAAATTCTCTTTTAAGATTATCACACATTAACATTTAATGCTAGAACTCTTACAAAAATGCATTTTAATGACTTCCCAGAATTTCTAACATGGGCAAAATTAATAATAAAGCTCCAGGTGAGCTAGACATTGTGATTTATTTAATGATTTCAGCATCTGACATATTCTCTCAATATAGTGCGATCGAAATTAAAATTTTCATTTATTAGAAAGTAAAAACTATTTTTCTTTAAAAAACTGCTAAGTTTCATAACAGACCTACTTATAATTTTTTACGTAGTTAATTTCTAGTAGTTAAATCAGGAAAAAGAAAATTTGCGTAGAAGTAATACCGTAGATGGAACAACTGTAAGAAAATTAAGTACTAACAATTAAGGTAAAAACTTATAATATAATAGGTGAAGAGTAATTCACAGCGTGTTAACATGTTAACAGTACCTATATTAATGAGTCTCAGGAGTATTCTGTCCGCTTCCAAATCACAAATGTTTATATTGAAATAGCACCTATTCATTACTTATAATCCAAACAAAGTCGTCTAAGGCTGGACGGCTATGTTGAAATTCCAAACGCCAATCTTGTACTGCTTACAGTCGGCCATCCTGATGTTCCTGATTGTACTCAGTTAGGTTAAAACTGGATTCAGAAGCCTAATGAACATCAATAAAAATTAGTTCATTGCAAAATATGCAAAACTTTCGCATCAGTAAGCATAAAGATACAGGAGTCAAGTACAAGAGTTTAGAAGAGTAAAAAGCATAAAGCAATTATAACAAGAAGATACCTTCTATTCATGCAAAGTATGAATCGACACATGCAAATACGCACTCCCCATAGGGAGGACATGAGACATTATGTGGCCAAACATCTACATGGAATCACACCAATCATCCCATAATCAAACCTCTATGGGGCATCTCAGATGAACATCTACGAGGCATCATGTGGGCAAACATCCACATGGAATCACACCAATCATCCCATAATCAAACATCTATGGGGCATTCCATAGATGAACATCTACAAGGCATCATGTGGTTAAACAATAACATGGAAACACACCAATCATCCCATAATCAAACCTCTATGGGGCATCTCATAGATGAACATTTACGAGGCATCATGTGAGCAAACTTCCACATGGATGTTTGCTCACATAAATTTTTTTTACAGTCAAATCTCTTTCTCTTATACATAATATATATGAGACTTACAGATAAACCAAGCACTTACCTGTGCTGCTATGCTCTTAACAAGTTATCTATAGCTTTAATTTGTCTATAGCTACAATTGCCGGACTGGTGTTAGCAATACCACTTGTAACCTTAGTAATAGCATATCTGTCATTGGGCAACGCTGCCGTTACCCTGAACGAACCTTTGTACTTCGGAAGTAGGTAACTTGCGGCTTTGGCCTGTGTTAGAAGCATCCGCCTTTGGACCATCACAAGATCCCCAATACTGTACTTATGTGCCTTTGCTCGCTTCCTGTCATATCTCCTTTTTTGAACCGCCTGATCTTGATCTATACGATCTTTAACTTGGTTCCGAAGAGAAACTGTACGATCCATTTGTTGTTGAATTTCTGACAACAGCATGGCATCAGTGATTCCCCTTGGTTTACTACCGAATAAAACCTCTGCGGGAGTAGTCCCTATGGTCTTGTGAACAGTAGTGTTCAATTCTCTTTTAACTTGAGTATCCCACATATCATCTTCAACATTTCCAGTAAGGGCTGCTAATGCACCTAACACGGTGCGATTTACTCGTTCACATTGTCCATTTGCCCTGGGCGTGGCAACAGCGTTTTGAATGTGTTTGATCCCTAAATCTAGGCAGAACTGTCGGAATCTATGCGACGTAAATGCGGTGCCTCTATCAGTATCAAATTATACGTGTGGGAACACCGAAAATATCAATAATGACTTGCAGACATTTAACCACATGCTTGGTTTTGGTGATTTGTAGAGGCTCAAGAATTGTAAATTTAGTAAACCCGTCGATCATAACTAATAATTGTGTATTTCCTTTTTTTTGATTTAATAAAAGGACCTAAATGATCGATACCATCCGGTCCTATACCGTATGGTATGGGACCGTATTTTTTTTTATTGGGTTTAAGTTGCCAGGCCTTTTGCCCGTCTGAGCTTTATAATAGAGGCAATTTAGACACGCATTTACATACTTGGTTACAAACTGACGTAGTTTTGGGAACCAATAATTCTCTTGAATTTTATATAAAGTTTTTCGTAAACCGAAATGACCTTGGTCATCACCATCACATAACCTGCAGATTTGCCAACTGTTTGATCTTGGTACTAACCATTTATTTGTATTTCCGAGTTTCCGATAAACAACATCGCTCTTCAACGTATAATTATCATGAAAAACTTTATTACTTGAATCTCAATCTTTAGACCGAAGAATATCTCGAATTCGACATATTTCTTCGTCCTGTGATTGAGCCGCCAGGAGCCAATCAGCTTCTGTTATATTAATAACAAGGACCTGTTGGGGAATGCGACTTAAACAGTCAACGTGGGTCATTTTGGTCCCAGCTCTATATTCAATTTCAAAATCATAGTCTTGAAGATAAAGCCACCATCTTGCGACTCGAGGAATTATATCCTTTTTGGTAGCGGTACTGCGAATCGCGGTGCAATCAGTTACTAATTTAAACTTAATTAGGACTAAATAAACTCTGAAATGCTTGAAAGATTCGACAACTACCAGCGTTTCTAATTCGTAGGAGTGGTATCTACCCTCCAAGGACGTAGTTTGGCGACTAAAATACGCAACAACGTATTTCGCGTAACCATCAATTTGTAACAAGATTCCTGCAATTCCATCCTTGCAGGCATCTGTTTGCACTTCGGTACCTACCTACTCAACGATGGATAAAAATTTTTCAAAATTGGCCGAGTAGTCAAATTATGTTTAATAGTTTGGATTGTATGTTCTTGTTCCTGAATCCATTCCCATTTTGTATCATTTTTAAGTAACCACCTCACGCAAATGATCTATCTGTTTCTGCATGTGTTCCACTGTCAATGGCGGTGTGTGGGACCTTTGTGACAGCTCTACATTAGAAGTATGCACCATGGCTCTGGAGGTACTGGGTGTTGGGGTTGATAATGCTTCACTGTGTCTATTCATGATTCACAACAAAATTAAGTCACTGATATATCGTCACTTATTTATTTGATATTGTTTATTTAACTTTTGTATTTGTTATTTATCCCACTTAAAGATCTTGAGGGACACAAACCTTCTAAAGCTGCCATACATACACAAGCCCTTCAAGGAGACAAATTTCCAATCAAACTCTAATATTTCCGCCCCGTATAAATTCAAACTTTTACCAAACTAAAATAAGAGATAAGAGCAAGCAAGCAGGTATGATAANACTAATTTAAACTTAATTAGGACTAAATAAACTCTGAAATGCTTGAAAGATTCGACAACTACCAGCGTTTCTAATTCGTAGGAGTGGTATCTACCCTCCAAGGACGTAGTTTGGCGACTAAAATACGCAACAACGTATTTCGCGTAACCATCAATTTGTAACAAGATTCCTGCAATTCCATCCTTGCAGGCATCTGTTTGCACTTCGGTACCTACCTACTCAACGATGGATAAAAATTTTTCAAAATTGGCCGAGTAGTCAAATTATGTTTAATAGTTTGGATTGTATGTTCTTGTTCCTGAATCCATTCCCATTTTGTATCATTTTTAAGTAACCACCTCACGCAAATGATCTATCTGTTTCTGCATGTGTTCCACTGTCAATGGCGGTGTGTGGGACCTTTGTGACAGCTCTACATTAGAAGTATGCACCATGGCTCTGGAGGTACTGGGTGTTGGGGTTGATAATGCTTTACTGTGTCTATTCATGATTCACAACAAAATTAAGTCACTGATATATCGTCACTTATTTATTTGATATTGTTTATTTAACTTTTGTATTTGTTATTTATCCCACTTAAAGATCTTGAGGGACACAAACCTTCTAAAGCTGCCATACATACACAAGCCCTTCAAGGAGACAAATTTCCAATCAAGCTATTTCCGCCCCGTATAAATTCAAACTTTTACCAAACTAAAATAAGAGATAAGAGCAAGCAAAGCAGGTATGATAAGATGATTATATACAATTCAACAACAGAATCAAGAAAATATTGAAATAAGGCTAAGTTTGGAAGGAGCTTTTCCATTCAGTGTTATGAAGTGAGAAGTTCCAATTAGATAACTATAGGTATATACTAATTAACAAACATTTATTAAACGGTTGTTAACAAAAACAAATTCAAATGAAATAACTGTACAAATTCATAGAGTAAGTATACTTAAAATTCCTATGTAGGTACCTAATAAGTAATTAGGTACATACCTACATATTTAAAACTTTATTTTAGTTTGCTAATGTTATTTAAAACTCTCATATAGTCGATTACTTATAAGCAGTAGTACTATCTGCCTACATTGTGTATTTAATTAGGTAGTTGTAAAAAAAGTTATATACTTATTGGAAACGGAAACGACAGACAATTTAGTTGGTTGCAAAAATTATGTTGGCAGTATTGATTTGTGACGTATTTTTTCTAAATTTGTGTTGGTATTAGTAAGTATTCGCAAAACATCAAACAAACATTGCTTACTCAGCTGTTTATCATAATAGTGTCAGTGGCTATTTTTTTGTATATCTAGAATTTTTATCAAGGAATACATTCCAGTTTATGAATATAATACATAATCTAAACAAAGTGATGGCATCAGCAGTATCTGATAAAGTTAAAGAGAAAAGAAATCGGGTAAGTAGAAAATTACATTTTCACCTAATATGGTGTACAAATATACTATATTATTATATTAAATTTATTGCAAATTATTATAACTTACAAAGTTGCTGGTAATTATTATAAATACCACCATAAATTACAATTAGTCGAAATTTTATATTGTTTTTTACAATTTCAATTGATATTATGAATTAGGTATTCCTAAATAATAAAATATAATACATAATCGCTTAGTGAGGCATTTCACAGTTCTGTCATGTATTTGTACATTTCATGCAGATTCTCTTGGGACCTCTTCCTGAAGATTTCCTCCGTGTTAATATGTCTGCCCAAGAGCAGCAAGAGGCTGCCGATAGGCAAGCAGCCCTAGCACTTCAACAGCAGTATGCTGGAGGGGCAGCATCATATTTAGCTACTATCCCAGGTCGGCTTAGCATTACAGTGGCCCAAGCAAAACTTGCTAAGAACTACGGTATGACTAGAATGGATCCATATTGTAGACTTAGGGTTGGACACTGTGTTTACGAAACCCCTACAGACCCTAATGGAGGCAAAAATCCTAGATGGAATAAAGTCGTATATTGGTAATGTTTGTGTATTTTTCTTGTTATATTTGAAAAGTCTAAATACACTAACCAGATGATGTAGTGTATTGTATAAAACAAAGTGGCATAGGCATGAGAACAATAATTAGGTATTCAAATGCAGTGAAAATTGATTAAATTCGACTCTTTTAATCATTTTTTTTTGTTAGAATCAATTAAGTAAAGATTTTGCATTTTTAATGACAAATTTCAGAATTGAATTTTTTATCGATAAACCAAATGTTTATATTTATTAAAATAATTTATACTCCGCGTTCGAAATTATAGAGAGTGACTCATCGCTAGCTTTTGGACTAGTAAGGGGGATGAAGCGTGCCGGGAACGAAAATCCATTGGCGTGCCTGTGTAAAAGGCAACAAGATATAGAAAATATTGAAAAAAAATAATAAAACGTAAAATCTAATATTTTTTTACGGTTTGCTATGACCGGCACTTTGATCCATTTTAATTATTACAGCATTTTAAAACGTCCAAGTTGTGTTTTTTTAATTTATAAATTTATTATAGCCATGGAATTAGACCCCTCGTCTATGCTTATGCTATGACGTTTATCAGGACGGGTAAATCAAGTCCGTTTACACCCACTAAAAAAGCATTTCCCTATTCACTACCAAGTGCAAAAGACGGAGATAGAATATAGATTGACGTTCAGTATAACTCAGTCTATAGACGATTATAGATTCTATCGATGTGAGTAGCGAGCGGCACAAAGATAAATAATATTGAACCGTATAAAAATCATTTTATATTTTATACGCATTCTGGTAATAGTGTTTTTATATTATGTCTGAGTCGCTCTCTATAATTTCGATCGCTGGGTATAGGTTAGTACATTCAAGGTTAATTGACAGTTTTAAATTTATAACAATATTTACTAAGAAAATTATGGAACTATTATTAGTCTGTACTAAGTACTCTATATGGGTTACATGACCCAACTACTAGCATCGAATTACTCCATATCAATAGGTACAACCACAAGTTGCTGGTAGGCGGGCAGTCAGTGCCTTTTTTCTAAACAGAATTTCTAGACGTGCTTTTTTTTAAATTTTATAACATTGTTCAATTTTAAACGAAAAGCTGTTTTTGCTAAATTACACAAAATTTCAGTTGATTCAGACAGATCTAGTTAAGCGATGGACTTGATTGATGGTCATTAGTTGTTAGTAACTCGCAAATAAATAACTGTCAGTCCCATTATCACATTGTAAGTAAAATGAATAGTCAGAGGTCCTATCATGACTTCAATGGTCACCCTACATTAATCCCCTTGATTATTTTGCCTGTTTTTGCTTGAAGTAATAGGAATACTCTTCTTCAATAAATCGAAGGGAGGAACTAATATACTGCATTCAAAATTCTTCACCATCCATTATGTTAATGCATTTATCAAACTCAAGGTCATTATTACATAGATGCCAGTCGTGTCGAACAGAAGGACTTCCAATTTGTAAATCTACTTTAATTTCTGCTAACTACTATATTTTTCTGTAGCTAGGGTTTGTTTTTAAATACCTGTTTTCAAATAAATATAACTGCACCAAATTTTTCTTTATAAATGTAAAACTAAACATTTTTCAGTTCAATTAAAATATTGTGTAATCATTGTGCACTAAAAGGGTTCCACACCATTTACTCAGAACCCTTTTATTTTATGACAATTTTGCAAGAACAGCTTTTTGTTTAATATTGATAAGCGACATCAAAAATTTCGTGAAATTTCTTATAAGCACAGAAATTCTAGTTAAAAAGTAGACACTTCTACCATGCCACTGCACTGGTGGCTGTAGTGAATCATTTGTGGGTCATTTAAAGGACATTATATTGTCATATGACTTACCTAATTTGGTTTCGTTAGAATTTAAATTAAAATGAATAAATTAAAATAAATTAAATTCAACACCCTGTATATTGGTTAGGAAGCGATTCACGACTCATGTTCACATGAACTTTTTTGTTAAGAATGAACAACAAGGACCTGATATATTGAAATTGTTGAACAATGTAATCATTTACAGAAATATCTTGATAATATTTTGTGGAAAAAATTTTTTTGATTATTAATATTATTTAATACCTTTAATATAGTCCAAAAAACATGAGAACTGAGGAATATGTTTCTTAAAAAGATTCTTACTTGATGTTAAAATTGAAAAAAAAAATTATATTCCTAAATATCTTCTGAACAAATGATGAAACTAAAACGAAACTTTATATGTACACTATATCACTGGCATTGAATGTGAAAAATTTAAATTTCAGCTCAAACCAGTGGCATAGATATGAGGTTCTGACTATGTTTTCCTCTAAAATTATAGCACATTTTTATGGTTTTGATATAATTAGCAATTTGCAGATATGTTTGGATACTTTTAGAATTACCTATTTGAATGATTTTATAGTGCCCAAAATGATTTCCCATCCCATTTTATTCTTGTATTGTTCCCACAATATTTGCTTCGGTATCTCCATTTGTTTGAGAAGATATTTAGAGATAACATTTTTTTTTAAATTGTAACACCTTGTATCTCAAAATGGAAGGTTTAAAGGCAAATATTTACATACGACGACATTGTTAATATCAACCTCTAATTTGATTTCTTCAGTAATGTGAATAGGTATTTATGAAGTATGTATGTAGTAATCTGAATTGACCTTGGGTTTGAAAGAATATGCCTACATTTTGAACCATAAGAAAATTACAAATTTACAAATAATACACTTACTTAATTGTTCTTCCATCGTTCATATTGTAATGTTATAACGTGTTATTAAGACAGGACTTCTGAGTAATTGTTTTTTCTCCATATTTTATTTTTGCCCTTTTTCTCAACAATGAAATTTAATATTAAAACAAAACAACCTACAAAGTCTTGTTTGTCTGCAGTGCTGTTCTAACAACTCCAATTTTAATTTTAGTAATGAAATTGTATTGAATAAGAAAATGTTCTTAAATTCAGACAAGGAATGTTCACATTAATTTTTGACAGGCTGTTTACATTCTGTAGTTATAATCACAAGATCCAGTACAAATGAAAAAAATGTTATTATATCAGTTTCATTCTGTGAAATGCACTTATATTTGAATTAGTAATTTTTATTACATAGTATTTATTCTCTTTAACAGATGTAGCATGATATAAAAAGAAATTGGTTGAAATGGTAATGTGTCAATTCATGATGTCATGACTATTTTTGCAAACATAAAAATATTGAACATGTCACAATACTTTTTTTTAATTATAATTATTTGTGTATAATCGAAGTTTTTAAATTGCATACCGCTGACAGTCTGTACTATTTTGTTTCTGTAGTGTGCTTCCTCAAGGCATTAACACCATAACACTAGAAATATTTGACGAGAGGTCTTTTACAATGGACGAACTGATTGCGTGGACTCAGATAGTTATTCCACAACAGGTGATGTCAGGAGAAACACACGAGGAGTGGTATCCACTTAACGGCAAACAGGGTGAAGGTTTGGAAGGCATGATCAATCTCGTTTTAAGTTATTCTGTAAGTGTACAACTTTTTTGTTTGTGAAGTACAGAGTGGCAAAAAATAGCAAGAGCAATTACAAAATTTAATAATACTCATCAAAATATGAGGAAAAGTTCTTATGAATGTACACTCTGAATTGTGTTATTTATTTATTTATTTACAATTACAGGGTAGGCAATCCAGGATCTGTTTTAGACAGTACATTTTTAATAACTAAATAAAAGAACAAAATTACGAAAAAGAGATTAAACAATTACTAGACAAAAAAAAAAGTAAATTATTAATAAGTTTTAACTAATTGTAAGAATAAAATTAAATCTAAAGAATAAATCATTGATGAAAACAGTGTCCAGGATAAATATCACTGTATTTGTATCATATAAATTTGACAAAACGTTTCACCAGACTCAGTTCCAATCCTACATATCTCATTCAGAAATCCATACTACTAGGGTGTAATAGTACGAAAAAGAAAAGTCACTTATTTTATACACCGTAATATCGTAAGAGTTTAATTAAAAGCCTTTTTTCTCGAAAACCGTCCACTAGGAAGTTCTAAAGAGAGTACATTAATTTTAGAAAATAAAATAGTACATTAGAAATTGGAGCCCAAATGTTAAAAAAACTAATCTTAAAATGTAACTAGCGCCCTCTATGAAATATCCAAAAAAATATTAGACCAGCGTATTTGGCATCCTTAAAAACCCCGGACTACCAAGTTTCATAAAAATACTTCGCACCGTTTGGAAATTTTCGTAAAAATTGTATTTAAAAAATTTTATTTTGTCATTGTATCCTGAAAACAAGAGATAAACATATAGTTCATAAGACAAAAAAATTCTTATTTTTTGTCGTACAATCACCCACTGTATTTACGGGAGGTCTGTTTGAAACACCCTGTATAGTAAATTCATTCCCTTAGAGGATAAATTAGAAAATCACCTAACATTAAGAAATATTTAATTTGACCTATACTAGATTCTACTTTAAATTCGATAATTTTGAAATTTATCCTTCACAAGTTTTCTACTTTTTCAAAAGTTGCCTAAAAATTTTAAAACATTTTCAATAAAAAAATTCTTGTTCCAAATTGGTAAAATCAACCAGTTTTCAAATATAACATGATATTGCAGGAAACAACTACTATGTGGACCAAGTAACTGACCTGCATTGAATTATATCCGCCAAAATCTTGTAAAAAACTATGCTTAATCACTCCTCAAATGGTATATAATGAAAATTAACAAGTTTAAAACTGGTATATGTCTGATGGTTCTGCTGACAAATAATCCTAGGTGTGTATTAGATATTGCAGAGATTCAATGCTGGTGGGATATTAGTCCGCAAATCACATAAAAAAATTGTTTCATGAAGTGGAGATGCAGGTCTTGCTTTTGAAATAGCAGGTCGATTTCTTGGCCATATTGAATTGCAGCGACTATTCTTAAACGGAGCAATGTCTCACATTTTCCAGATATTAGAACAAAATTGTTAAATTGTTTACAATTGAAATACTGTTACAATTTTGTGATAATCCTAATATAATATATTTGTGAATTGAGAAATTGTTCGCAGTGGTTAACCTAGAAGTGGAAGACTTGTGCAGGATATTATCATTTGGTAGGATATATTTTGCATTAAGGAACGTTGGTAAATTTTAACCATTGCTCCATTGAGGAATAACGGAAACCTGAGAAACTTTATTAATTTTGGGAAATCTGGGTTCGTAGCCACCTGGAAAAGTCAGGGAATTCGTTATTCTTCATAAAAAACGGAATAGTCAGGGAATTTTAAAAGTATTCATGAAAGTCAGGAAATTTGACATTTGCTACTGGAAATTTTGTGAAAGCAGACCCTGGGTTCTTGAAAGAGAAAATTATTTGTGGTTTTGAAACCTTTATAAGAGGTTCTTTGGGTATAAAAAATATTATGGAGTCCAGTCTAGAAAAAGTTTAATGCATAAACATCAATTAGTATGTAAAAATAAACTACAAGTGACCTGGATTTTTTATGTCGGGGAAAACCTAGAAAAGTCAGGGAATTCTATAATACTTTTGAACTATGAACCCTGGAAATGGTCAAAAGCCAACTGTTATCAATTTTTCAATTTGACTCAAGAATGAAATTTGAAAGTATTGAAAAAAATTTATTTTTCTTTGACAAGTGTAAACATTTATTTAACCCTTTCGCTGCGCAATACGTTTGAACGTAGCTACCGCGCCGTGCGCGATTGTTTATCGCGTGCGAATATATACGTCTGGAGCAGTTAGACCACTTATAGTTTTACATTAAATTACGATTTACGATAAATTTTACGATTTTATTTTGAATAAAATACAGTATATGTACTAAATAGAAACTGAAAGAAACATGAACAATCTTGGTACTATTACCAGTACCTCTTTCCATAAAAATATTTGTCACAATCGGTATAAGCTCGCCCGCAAAAATTCGCCTTACCAATTGCAATAACCGAGTCACTATGCGCACGGTTGCGAATATATACGGTTTGAGCAGCCAGATCCAATTTAACTATTCATGCGAATTTATCCGTCTGGAGCAGTTTGACCCCTATAAATTTTTAGCGAATATATACGTCTGGAGCAGTGAAAGGGTTAAACCCACATCAAGAATAATTTCCTAATGTTAACAGCTGTGGAGAAATAAAAATAATTTTAATTTACCCTTTAAGGGCCTTTAGCCTCCTTGTAACACATTTTGAATGGTATCCTCATAAGAACTTTTGAACTCCCTTATTTTGAAAGTATTTCTGCCCAGGAGTTTGCTACACTTTTTTTGACATCATACATAGCTGCAATATAATGATTGTATTATATTTATTTCCTTAATTACAGGCATCTCCTCCATATCTTTATGCACCAAATCCCATTATGGTTGTTCCTAGAACTGGAGGCACTTCTATAAAACCCTTCAAAGTGTATACCACTACTACCAATGCCCCTGCTCCATCACCTGTGCCAGTACTTAGTGAATCTGAGTTGATACAGGTAACCTTTATTCATGTCTTTATAACAGTTGTTTTTTATGCTTAAAAGAATCAATATATCTATCAAGTTGGATTAAATTGTTCAATCAAGATGAAACCACATATTTTATTGAGCTGCAAAAGGTACATCATCAAGAATATCTAAGAAATTGTTTTGTAAAAAAAATATAAATCGTTGGGCATTTAATTGAGATGGTAAGAAAATCGGGCCTAAATGAAAATTTGCCTTTTTAATAAACTAGCATTTAAAACTCATTTTGCTATAAATATTGTTTATTACAAACAGAAAATGCTAGATTTGTTCCTCATTCCAAATTCAAAAAGAAAGAACTAAATCAAAATTTGAAGAGACAAAAATAACCATTTTATCTAAACCATGGATGTAGTTATGCAAAAAGGAATCATTGGTGGAAAATAATACTTAAAAAATAACAATTCAAAGTTTCCAATTTAAAAAATTATAATGCGGTTAAATTTAATAATCAAAGCAATCAAAACTTCAGTTTCTTATTTTGTCACGTTAGTGGACACCATTTTGTTCTGTGTCTGCTTGCGTTTTGTTCTGTTTTAACTAGAATTGCTCTAAAGTATGACTGTATAACCTTATAAATTTATGCAAAATTTCAACTAAGTGTTAGGAAGCAATAAAATTATCAATAAAAATCATTTTATCAAAAATGGGATGCTGAAATAAAACAATTACATAATGAAGATCCATTTATTTTTCCCTAAGTAATATTTGGTTAATGGTTAGACATACTAATTTGTGACACCCTGTGTAATGTCAAATAAGAATGAGGAATTAAAGAAATGCTGAAGAATATTTGAAAATTACAAAAAAAAAACATTTTTCTTAATAACATACAGGGTGATTCACTTTTTATGATTAGGACTCTAACCATCAATAGATCTCATCAAAAAATGTCATTTTGAAGTATACACTTTTTTTTCCAAACGCTTCCTTTTAGAGATCTTGAAGAAACATTTTTTTTTGGTTTTTATTTAATTTTTCTTAAACTATGCAAGCCATTTGTTTCATATTTAGTATGAAGTGTACGAATGAAAAGCTCTATCGATCTAAATTATTGCGAAAATACATCAATCATAGGCGTCGGTAAGGGATCTGATAACCCCTATTGTTAATATAACTTCTACGCCACTGGATAGTCCACTGGATTTTAATATGAATGTATTTTTTTTACATTGCAGTTGAAGTCACTTACTATTTTTAAATGAAATGCTTGGTTTTCTTATGGATTCATTACAATTAAACAGGGTAATGATTGAAGTACATACGACACTTTAAATTCACGATATTTTAAAGTGACTAAATCTAAAACTATCTTTTTTATTTTATTACTTAAACAAACTGTTGTAGGTGACACATATTTTTGAAAAAAAATCTCATAATCCCTGAAGGTGATTCATAGAGTAACAATTGGTTTTTTATTTTGACACATTTCCTCAGTCATTGATTTTACGTTGCATTATTAAAATGTTATTTCTGTTTGTTTCTCAATATTAAATATTTTAATATATTGTACGTATTACTTTGTTTGAAGCTTGACCATTTCACATGTTTAATACATAAGAAGCCATTTTTCTCAAAAACCAAGCATTTCATTTAAAAATAGTAAGAGACCTTTTTGCTGTAGAATAAACCGCAATTTAAAAAAAAAATATATTTATTTTGAAAAATTTCCAGTGGCGTACAAATTATATTAAAAATAGGAGTTATCAGAGCCCCTTACGGAAGCCTATGGTTGATCCATTGTCACAATAATTTGTAAAATCGATAGAGCTTTTCATTGGTACACTTTATACTAAATATAAAACAAACGGCTTTCATAGTTTAAGAAAAAATAAATAAAAACCAAAATAACATTTTTTTTTTCAAGATCTTGTATCTCTAAAAGGAAGCCTTTGGAAGAAACAATGTATACTTCAAAATAACATTATTTTGACGAGATCTATCGATCTAATCATAAAAAGTGAATCACCCTGTATCTTAAAGTGTATTCAAGAAGGAAATCTATAGAGGAAATTTGGAAACAGTAGACATTTTTTTTCAAACATTGACTTGGCAGACACTCAATTTTTTATCGGGGTAAATAAGTTATGTATAAAATTATGAAACAACAGAATATTCTATTTAAAGTGATATGACTTTTATTTCATCACTTATAAATGTATTTGATAGTGGTAAAACTTTGGAATTCAGATTATTAATCAGATCTTTTATTTTCCCGAAGTAATTTATGAAATAAATTAGTCAGAAATAAATTATCATTACTAATCATTTGAAATCAAGAATGTTTTAAATAAACCACATTTAAATTTTCCCTCAAATACATTTTGTACAACAATATTACACATTACGTATGCATAGTGACATCAGAATACAGAAATATAATTTCCACCGACTTTTCAGAAACTAAGTATCATGATGACCACTCATGTATTTTAAGGATAGGAACTACTTTAAAAATATCTCATTATTTATTTACATCCAAATATACTTCTATAGTTTATCGGAAAGAAAATATCTTATTAGTGAAATATTTTATGCAGATGCTTGCATAAAAATGTCTGTAGCAATTGTAATATGACTGGGGTTGGTTGGGCTAATGGGTAACTTTGATAGGGGGTAGATACTTTTGATATAAAATTTGTTCTCTTGAAAAATGTGAGGCTAACAAAACATTCATGTTTTGCAATTTGTTCCAACACTCCTTGTAAATAAAAGACAATAACCAAAAATATTAAACCATCATCATATAAACAAGCTGTTCATCTGTTAGCTTTATAATAATCTCAATATTCGATCGAGATGTTTTTATTTTAGTGATGACAGGACCAAGTGAGTGGGTATTCATATCTATTAAAAAAAAAAATAAAATATCACAAAATTTTATATTTCCAAGGTTACTGATTCGGTGAACAACAATTTCTTCACATCTTCAGGATAACAGACTACAATTCAGAAAATTATAAAAAATAATATGTAATTGAGAATAATTGTATAGAAGAGACGTAAATAATCTCTACAATTAAAAAAAGAGCCTAGAAAGATGAATGCAATTAAAATTAATGCACCACTAAGAATGAGGTACCAACTTCAAAGTGGATTTTGTAGTGAACGGTTAATCTAATTATAGATTTAATAGTCAATAATAACCTTAAGATTTTCATTATTCACCACGTGGTGCAGGGGAGAAGTTTTGTACCCTAAAATTTGAAATACAATGCTCACATTTGACTTTTGAGAACAAAAACAGAGTTTTTCAAAACGTTAACTCACTGTCATGTGTTGTAATGATTATTATACAGGGTGTTAATGATAAGTTTTTCCAAACTTTAATGGTGTATTCTACCGACGAAAATAATCAAGATTTGCCCTATAAAAGTTTTTGGTGGGACACTTCCTTACGGAGATACAGGGTGTTAAAAGCTTCAAATATTTATATTATTTTTCCTGTAACTTTACTGATATAAACGATCGAGTGATAAAATTTTGATGGCATTTTTTTAGTAGAGACTATTTTATCATGGATAACTTATTCCAAAATATGCACTGCAGTGGCGTAGTTATTGGGGTAGGGGGCCTTTTTTGAAAAAAATGCCACTAGTTTTTTAAATAATTTTAAATGTTTTTAAAATGTACAATCAATTTGTGTGTGCCAACCCCCAAATTTTGTTGCATTAATTTCGGATATTTCATTGCAATCAAATTTTGTAGAGAGGGATAGATTTTAAAATATCTGTCAGGTTGTTTTTCTGTTGTTCTTTGTTCGTCATTCTACATTGCCCTTGAAAATAATCAGATGTCATACCGTAAAGTTATTAAGTTAAACCTGAATCGTTCAGTTAGCTGGTAAATGTGTTCTTTGTGCACAAAAATCAGATAATGTGGGATAGGTAACTATCAATCTCTACTTATCTCCCTTGACATACTACTTGATAATAAAAATTGTATGAAGAAATGTATGGAATATCAATCAAGAAGAGATTAATTAATGTCTGGTTTTAAGCTAGAGTTATTTTCTTTTTGTCATTTTTTAATTATGATTAACTACTGTTTAAAATTTTGAATTTTTATCCATCTTTTATCTAAGAATTTTATAATCCTTCTTTTTAGATAGAAGAAATGTTTCCGAACATTGAGAAGGAAGTTATCAAGACTGTGTTCGAAGCTAACAGAGGAAATAAAGAGAGTACGATCAACTCTCTACTCCAAATGGCCGACTAAATTATAAGAATGGTACTTTTTCTGTTTGTTTTTTTATCGTTTATCGCCTAGACTTAGCATTTATATTAAAAAAATGTTTTATATTGAGAATATTCTACTATTTACTTATGCTTAATAGGAGAGTTTCTAGTCAAAATGGTTTGTAAATATATAATTTTCTAAGTTACTTTGAATATATTGGGAGAAAGTAAATTTCCTACTGCTCATTTTGTGCCATAAAAATTTGTGTTAAAATTTACAAGTTTTTTATAATTGAAAAGTGTAAATTTGTTTATGGCTAGAAATAAATCAAGAACTATAAATTTGATCAGTTTAATTCATATTTTCATTTTTTGTTTTTATAAAATCATATTTTTTTTTCTTCTAAAACTAAATTTTTTAATAGTACTCTTCTTACTCCCTTCTAGGATACTTAACATAGGTAGTTTTTCTTTATCTTCGATGAACATATCTCTCAAGCAGAATTCACTGTATGCTATTTCTACTTGCATATTCCAATTAATTGCAAAATTCATTGTTTTAATATCTATTCTCTGTACAAGGTGCTGCCATAAGTTGTTTGGACTAAAAAACTAGTTGAAGGAAACTCGTAACCCAAACTTGGCAGCAAATTTTAGTCAAATAGCAATTGTAACCTCTAAATTTTTAAATGGGAAATAGAGGCTTGTGATAACTCATCTGAAAGGTCTCTTCTTTATTCAAAAATGTTATGCTTTTCATATTTATTGCAAAAATTAGCAGTAAAAATATATTCATCTGTTTGACGAAATTCGCTACAGCAGACAAAAAAACCTCAATTTCTACATAGATGTTCAAAATGAATTCCTTCAACATCTTGGCCTAATAGTAAATAAAAATGCCTTCTAATGCTTTCCAACATCTGAGGCGTGACCAACCTAACCGCATCCGTTATTTTTCTTCTCAAATCAGCTATATCACATGGCTTTGTTTTGTATACCATACTTTTTACATATCCTCATAGAAAGAAATCTGAGTGTGTAAGATCAGGTGAATGTACTGGCCATTCTAAAGATCCTCGCTTCCCTAACCACCAATTGGAAAATCAAGGTATTGCCGAACATTGATTGGGTAATGTGGTGGTGTTCCATTCTGCTAGAACGCCATCACATCAGTTGGAAGTTGTCGGTTTGCTTGAGCAGGATATATGTTTGCCCAAGTTGGCACTACATTATTTTGGAGCAGAAATAAATAAATATCTTCATTCACTTACCATCAACGATGGTCCCTGCCTAAACATTAAGCTTTTCAGGATTTTGCGTTTGTAATTCTCTCATCCAGTGAGGTTTTCATTAACCCAGTAGCGACAGTTTCGACAATTAACTTGTCTTTGAATAAAAGTGGACTCGTCTGGAAACAAAATGTTTTCTAGTTGGATAACATTGTTATGTAACCTTTGCATCATTTGTTCACAAAACTACATTCTTCTATTTATGGAGCTGAGTAGGGATCTGTTTATAGGGATGTATTTTATTTTCGTTTAATATGTGATTAATGAAGGAATGGGATGCATTCAATGCTGTAAGATGTTTGTCGACATGAACTATACAGGGTGTCCCACCACGAACTCCATCGATGGATGTCTGGGAAACCGCTCGAAGAATTTTTTTGAAATTGTGATGGTGTGATACGGACCGTGGGGCCTATCAAGCTAAAATATTTTCAAAGTCATCGTAGTTCCGGTTATACCGGAAGTCGATACTAACTTTTTTATTTTAAATGTAACTCTCTATATATTATTATATTTTTGGAAAGAGCATTCATTTTTAAGTTGAAAACATATAGCACACTCCATACTTAGGATTGACCGTTTCTGAGACATTTTGATTTATAAGGAAAAATATTATGTTTTTAACTTAAAAATAGATACTCTTTGCAAAAATGCAATAATATACAGGGGGTTCCATTTAAAATGAGAAAGTTAGTATCGACTTTCTGTATAACTGGAAGTACGAAAATATTTTAACTTGGTAGGCCCCAAGGTCCGTATCACACCATCACAATTTCAAAAAAATCCATTCGTTGTGAGATACCCTGTATAGGTTTTTTTCCAACCAAATCAGTGTATCTATTTTGGTCATTGCATTGGAAGCTTCTTTTTTATCTGCGGTACGTCCATTTTCACGAAACTGCTTTTCAATTTTACTAATTGTACTTACCTTGGGATATAGGCGAGAAATGAGGAAATTTTTCTTGAAATAGATGAGCAATTTCGACCTGTGAATGCATTCTATTTTCGTAACCATTGAATTTCTGTTAAATAAACCATGTTTTTAGCAGTTCTCAGAACACTGACAACTATTTATTGTAGTCGCTATGGCGTTTTCAATAGAACTAATAAAACTGGAAATTTTGATAGGTTTTTACGTCTTCTTTTTATGATAACATTGAAAAAGAACACTGAAATTGTTTTTGGTAGCCCTTAAGGACAAAAGTTTTTATGTTTTTGTTTGTTGTAAAAATTTTGCCAGGCAGACCGTTTATTTTTGCAATAAATATTCAAACCATAGCAATTTTGAATAGAAAATACCTTTTCTAGTTGGGTATGACAAGCCCCTACGTCCCATTTAAAAATTTAGGGTTTGCAACTGCCACTAGAAGGGGGTTAAATTTAGGGATCAAATTTTTATATTGATGGATGTCGTTTCAGATTCCAGAATCAATGTATCTTGAATTTATTCGATTTAGCAGTTTCACACTGTATGTACAAAGAGTCTAAGTGGAAGAAAGTACGATAATATTTCAGTGGCACACAAAATTTTTGTGATGTAAAAAATTTAAATAAATATTTGCAAATTAAAAATAGGGGCAATACACACACAAGAGGGTGTTAATTTAGGACATCGACAAACTTTAAGGAGGCGAATCTTTGAGTGATTTTAAGTCAAATAAGAAGTTATATGGTCTGCAAATTGCTATGTAGTTTTCGAGATTCAGTGTATTCAAATTTGCTGCCTCCTGGAAATTTTCTTAGTAGAACAATTTTATTTAAAATTTAGTTTACAAATAAGATCCACTTCTTATTTGTGGAAGGGCGAAATGGACGTTGACTATGATACACTGTATATTGAAACATCAGTGAGAGAAATACCAAATTTTAATAAATAAGCAATTGAAATGTTTATTTTGGACAAAAGCAAAAGAATGGACTTTTACTACTAAAAAATAATGTTGAGCATATTTTGCCTATATTTCAATAGTACTTAAAATAAAACTACTCAATTATATTTGATTTTTTATTAGGTCCCCTTTAGGTTTCCCTCTTTTTATTATTTTTTATTGAACTTATTAAAAATATGCAATATAAATTTATTATTATTAATGAGGTAATTATTTCCTTTTTTTATGTTCATGATCTTTGAATTTCTAACAAGATTTCTTAAGTGACATTTTTTAATATTTAAAAAAATTTAGAAGCCTACGTATCAAATAAAAATAATTCACTGTGAGGATATAATTATGGGATATACTGTATGTTTATAATACTCTTTATCTCGAAATTAAAAATTGGTCACTAATGTTCCCAATCTGTTTTTTAATTTCTGCTAGAGGTTTATTGGGTACGGAGGTACGTCTAAAGTCTAACGAAAGTTTCTGTAGATTCGCTAGTGACTAAAGTAGTCTTTAGATTTGGCAACGTTGCACTTGGCTGGCGCGCTCAGTTTGGCGTTCGCTCACTCCCGTTCGATCATTCTGTTTGTTTGGACACCTGCGAATTTTAAATAATACGCTACGTCGAGACCGCGGCGTTGCCGCATATGGAAGATAAGTTGGTCAACGACAGCAGTTTGAAGGAGAATTATTATAAATTATGTATCTTACAAGTATCTAATCGATTTCTACAAGCTGTCATACGGTTCCTTAGATATTGGTTTCCTATTTATACAAGTTGCTGTGGAAACTGTTCATCAATTGTTGCGCATTCTAAGTGGAGAGACCAAAAAATCTGCATAGAGTGAAAAATTATATCTCGTCTCTTAGGTATCTAAACTAGTCATAATTTTTTTTGAGGATTTTCTTCATATTAATAAACTTATATTAATTTTTTTATGAATATTTGTTCGTCAATTCCCAATCAGATAAACCTCCTTAAAGCACATACAATTATGCAGTTCAATAATTATATCTATTTAAAAAAAAAACAACTTCGTCATTTTTGTAAAAATTTATTTATTTCTATTTTAAAATGATTATCCAAATTCAACGTTTAAATTTTAAAAGGTGTAATAGGTTTTTTACTACGATTAAAAAAATGCATTAAAAATTTAATTAATCTTTCATATTACCCTGTATATTTCTTGATAGTGCCAATTCATATGCAAGAAATAATTCTTATTAAAATCACTTTAATATATGCACCATCAAAAGTCTAAAGGAAAGCAATATATTCACATTAGTGGTTCTCAATCTGGAGCATGTTTTTGGCGTTTTATGGATGAGAAAAATTCAGAAAGTAGCACTTGCATACACGGTCGGAAAGTCCCCATGGTTCATCGGCCGTTACGTGAGAGCGATAAAGTAAGTAATAGAAATCCGTGCGATAGAGAAGGATGGCTATAATAAAAGCGTCTAATAGTCACCGCCCATTTCGCCCTTCCACAAACAAGAAGTGTATCTTATTTGGGAACTTTCCAACCCTGTATAAGTTACATACTTGCAATAATAAAGGGGCATTTAAGAAAATTTACTATCAAGTATGTATCTCGCAAAACAGATTGAGAACTGCTACTTTAAATTTTGAAGATTATTGTTTAATTTTTACTAATTAGTTTTTTTTGTAATTTTACTATTATTATTTTAATTTCAGTATGGTTCTTTCTTTATGAATCTCGCTTGAAACGTGAATAAGAAAATGTGCCTACTATACGCTTGCTAAAGTATTTTTAATTTCTATTATAGCTAAACTAGTATAGAGTATATTATGTAAATATTGCCATAAATTTTTAACTTATAAAAAATGGCTGAATTTTATTTGTTACTGTTTTGTTGAAATGCACTGTTTTTAATCCTAATTTTATCAAATGTTATATCTTTGTTAATATCTAATAAATCTTAATTCATCCTTTTCTTTAAATCAAAACCACTTAGAATAAAAGTTTGTTTTATTACCGAAATAATATAATTTCCTGCAACAGTAACAATGCCCAATTATTTTTTTATGCATGGCAAAAATTTTCCGATTTTTCTAGAAGTGCACAAAAAGAAAATATAACAATTTTCTATTGATGAACAGATTAAACAGTACATTAATTAAATATTTCGACAAACTTTCAGTGATTCTTTGAATGATTATTATAT